AGTATGAGTGGCGGACATGGGTTTCGAGAAACTTATTGGCACAGAGCTTGCACGGGCTTGATGCATCAGAACGAATCGCCACAGCAGGAGCTTTTGAAAGTAATGCAACAAGCATGCCGCGACTCGGCGTATCACGTTCAGCCCTCAATGTTTTGGAGCAGTGGTGTGCGCGCGTGGGCCGGGGGGGGGGGGGGGGGGGNNGCGGGTAGAGGAGACCAGAAAGCAGATAAGACATACCACATGTCCTTGTGGGACTGGGAGGCTGTACGAAACACTGCATTTCCTTCATCGACTTCCCCCCAACCTTTGGGGGGCCGAAGCCGGAACTGGATTTGCATCTGAATGCTTGGAACACCTAGTGTGCATTTCGGTCATTTCCGCTTCGATGACCGTTCCGGTCCGGTTTTAACAGACCTCTGCCTTGCGAGAGCCAAACTCACAAGCACAATGCAACTGCAAGGTCTTTCCAAGCCCCGATCCACCCAACGCCTGCACTTGCTGCAAGTGTTTGATTTGTTTGTGCATGTGAGACCTGGTAAGACTGGCCGAAAGCATTGTGAAACTTGGGGGCTCAGACAATCCAGCAATGGCAAGAGCGGCATGGTATCTGCATTCCGCATACCCAGCAAATTTCAACCACAACTGATTCGCACGATCCCAGTGAAAAAGCTTGACCAAGCTTCGTGAACAATAGTTCTTCAAGTTCTTCAAGCCCAACATGGCATTCCGCAACAGCAAGAATGATTTGCATTGATGCAGGGGCTGGTCAACCAAAGCATTGACAAGCAGGTCTTTTGCAGATGCAGTGCACAGTCTTAAACAACTAAGGTGCCTCCACATGGATCGAATGCTGCCACGACCCTCCAAGGCAGTATCCCGGGATCCTGAAGCGCGGCAATCGCAAGACCGCCACTTGTACATGCAATGAGCCGTTTGCGTGACGACAAAGAATCCATTGTGTCATACCACTTCATACACATTTATAGACTACAGGTCTATCATGGTTGATAACTCATCTCACACTCTACAGACAGGAACAATAATCAGCTTCAAGTGTAGAGATATGATACAGCACCAGAGTCGTTATCGTCAGATTCTTCGGCCCAGCTCCTCCAAAAGGACTTTCTCATTTTCTCAGAGGCAACGAAGTCACTGTCGGACTGTTTGCTCCAAGAGGAGTTGTCATCAGAAGCTAGTTGTTTGACCTTTGCCTTCTTGTTGGTTATATGGCGCGCTCCCGCATTGCAGAGGTGTCAATTCCCAGCCAGGATAAGGGCAATCAGGAAAAGGCCAAAGCGGCCAAAGACAAACCTATCGCAACACGTGGTGTCTCCGAGTCTCATACGGCCCAGAAAGCCTTGTTTGCTCACGGCAGGGGCAACAGAATGGTTTCGTGGGAGCGTACGTCCCGAGATAGGAGCAAAGTGTCGTGTCATGGCATGAACACCTCGTCACAGCTACCGATTATGTCATCAGATCATCAGGCATGTTGTCGCAGTTTGGTTTTGAAGTGCCGGTGTTCAAGTGCCGGCATATTGCCACTCTTGACCAGGGTTGATCCATTTGGTCTATGTCCGAGACATCTTACATCGTGGGGCAAAGGCTGTTTTACCCTGAGGTAGCATGATGGCTGCAGAATCCGAGGAGTGGTTCGAAGTCTGGCGAGAGCCCTCCACGACCGTCCCAGACGCCATCCCACAGCCTGCATGCCATGGCCGATCAGGAGTTGGACATGGCCTGGGGCTCAGCGCAGCCAATCTTCTTTGAGCATAAGCCTGTAGCCGAGTACCAAGAGCACCGAACCAGAGTCTCGAGCCTCTGATGCTTTGTCGGGGCAAGAGAGGATCGGGCGGGACTAGTAACTAGTAGCTAACACAAGGAAAAGCCTCGAATTTCAAGGCCGCTACGTTGTCCAAGAAGTTGTGGTGCCGCTACATTGCCTTGGCTTCACGGCCAGGTTCCCCCTTTACGCTGTCCCGTAAACGACGCGAGCTTGCACGGCTCGACGGTGGTGGGGATGTCCACATGGAGCACTTTCTGGAGGCTGGGCGAGTCGGGAGGGACGCCATGCTTCCAAGTGCCATGTAATTATAAAGAAGTGCGCTTGCCACGGAGAGGAATGTAAGTGTTGATGCCTTTGGCATGGTAGGACTGCAGCACCGCACGAACCACGTGTGCCGGCCGACGCTTCTGGCATCGAAGCGGTGCACGGTAACTAACATGTGCAGCTGGTATGCGATCGACACCTTTGCGAGTTTGGGCGCGCCCCTGCGCCATCTTCAAGCCTATCATTTTCCATGAAGGGCATGAAAGGGAAAGGGGTGAGGCACAATCCCGAAATGTACCAATTTGGCATCTAAATGTTTGGCTTCAGGTGCTTTCTATACCTTCTGTCCGTCTGTCTTAGAAGATCGAGCGACCATCACGGTCAGGCGCAGTATTCGGGATGTTTTGTCGAGTTGGTCGAGCCTGCAAAGGCGGCGAGCATCTACACCACAGTGCTGGGTCAGTTGGGTACTGCATCGTCAACAGTCGCAGCGGACATCGGCAAGAATTTGCGAGGTTCCATGGTTTGCACTTACTTTATCATCAACCCTGGCTTCGGATGTTGTTCTGAACCCTGTTGTTGGAAGGGGTCGCTACCCATCCACCACCTTGCGCAGGAGTCCAACAGTGCCTCAGCTCCGAGCCCGAAACGAGAGCGACTTTGAGAGGTTTCCTCGATGCGGAGAAGGCATGTGGGGCGCATTGCCAGTCGCGAATGAACTGAATGCCACATGACTTGTCGTGTAGTGGGAACGATAGAAAAGAGCTTGCTGGACTGTGAGATGCTTTGAGCGCACACTGATCCGAACGTGTAGAGCAGAGATTCCCCAAGTGACAATATGTGCGAGTAGTGAGGTATCCACGCAGCGAGCTTGCATGTAGTGCGAAAAGGACAACCGTAAGGCAATTGCGCAAGATTGGCCGATTCTGAAGCGGATCGAAAGCCTTCCGGCGGAGGCCACGCGCCAGCATCAAGCCGCTGAGCCGAGCCACTGCCAGCTCGCCGACCCCAGCGGTGCGGCTCCTGTTTTAGGCTCCTGACTCCGGCGCGGGGATCTCAGGAATGCACTCTGAAGATGCGAGTTCGGGCTTCTTATCTGTGAGTTGGGCCATGCGCGGCAGGTGCTATGCAGTTGCAGTGGCTGCTGCGCGGCCTGGGTTTCTACGCTCGTTTCTTGCAGCTGCAGCTGGAAGAGTATCCTGCGGCTGCTGCAGAGGCCATGTCCAGTCTTCAGCATCTTGCAACGCTTTGCAGCAACCCCTTCTCTTGTCTATCGCCCTACCCCTGCCCGTGCAATCTACCTGCCGTTTTCTGCCCGTCAGGCCTACAATGAGACTCTCGCGAGTCTTGGCATAAGACATCAGAGATAGCAACGAAGATTCGGAAGGGCATGTGTTATCATCTAATGTAATGCGCAAGGTATGATGGAGGCAATTCATATCGAGTCGATGTTGCCCTGCACACCCATTCCCGAGACGAGGGTAGGCATGGCGGAATGCGTAAAGTCTGTGCGCAGGCAGTACCACAGCACGCTCACAGCCTTCACATTTCAGTTTCTCATCACGGCGATGCCTTCGAAGGAGCCCATACAGTTCGTTGCAGGTTGAAAGAGCCACTTTTTTTGTGCACCTGATCATCAAGCGTTGCTCCACGATGCCCTATGCGATAGCTGCTATCGTGCGACACCCATGTTGCCACATGCTGATGATCTCATGCTCTGTGCGAGGTTCTCAGGAGAGCATTACAGGTACTCGTAAGCGGCCAAGCAGACGATGTATGTATGTGTGTGTGTGTGCGTGCGTGTGTGTGTGTGTGGGTGGGTGGGTGGGTGGGTGGGTGGGTGGGTGGGTGGGTGGGGAGAAGGTTGGGTGGGGAGAAGTATTCTGCGGCAGGATTCTC